ATTCTATAATTAGATTTGTGTAAAGCTAAAGATTTATTTAACTGATATAATCGCTTCTCCTTAAAATCTGCTTTCTTTAACTGATATTACATAACTATAAAAATATTCATAATAAATTTCTATGTTTACACATATACTTGTTTGTGCGTAAGCAAATGTGAGTACAATTTGATGGATCGGTATAATGAAAGTAACGATTTACAAAAAGGTTCAGTATATTATTGCTTACATACAAAAATGTTCATAACCAGATATCCACATACAGTTGTGAATACCAGATGTATATTGAGAACAAATACAGTAATTTTTGTGATCATTTAATTACTTATATAAACTTCAATCACATACTGATGTTAAGAAATGGACTACTAATAATTAACAATTCACTGAAATCTTATTTACTCTAGCTTAGACTATATGTGCTCAGTTCATCGGCGAATGTGGAATTTAGATTCAAACATGTCAGATCTCATCACGACCTTTATTATGAAATTTAGTCCATTTGTCACAAATTAGGCTGTTAATTAACTTTATCAAAAAGTTGTTGTTTCATTCATAACTTCATTACTTCCTCAGCAAATACCATTCAAGCATGTATATACATATATACGATAAACTTTAACATTTTGGGTATGAGTTACCGAGTTTCTTTCTGCTTACTTTATATTTTTAAGTAGTATATGTGTTATCATTTGAAGGAGAATTGAAAATATAAATTATTCTGAATTCCTCAAATGATGTATTGAACACATTCACTCACATGACGTTGAACTCTGTATCCCAGAGATAAATATATTTATCTGTATTATGATTAAATTTTGATTAATTCACAGTTTAATTTGAGTATATATATATATACTTTTGGCCAACTGTCATTTTTCTTCCCAATTCAACAATTTTTTAATTGTCAGATTCATATGATTATGGAATAAAAAAAGTTTAAACAAGCATGAGTAAACATTGAAAACACACAACCATCTGGTATGACAATATGAAATTGAATAAAGAAAGAAGTTTATTCATATATAAGAGATATAATTTAATAAACTTATGATTTAAAACAATTAGTCCCTTTGATAAATTTCGATAATGATATTAGAAGACGAAGATTATGTGATGATATATTAGCGCAATATATTTCGATCAATCTGATCACACATATACTTGTTAAGAGTATCTATATATAAGAATTAAAGGTCAACTAGACTGGAAATGGGGTAAGAGGAGATAAGGATGATAATAATAATAAGAGTAATAATAATAATAATTTTCACAGATTTAAATCATGTGAAAACAATTCGAAACCTGATCACTGTGGATAATAAGTCAATATTACCAGGGTAGGTTTAAGGTAAGAACAAACTGTTTTTGAACACACAAAGGGGGTTTGAATTTTCGTATGGCTAAGGCTTCAATGAACCTTAGTATATGCTCTTTTACACTTTTAGACAACACCAGAAAAGCCGAGTTTAGATCAATCTTATAACCTGTTTCAATTATATGTTTAACAATAGAGGATGATGGATGTTTATCCTCTACTGTTATTGGATCACTTGATTGTATTGTTGGTTCATGATCAACATAGTGTAAAGTTTCAATTATAATGAGTTTGTGGGAGAGAATGTATTTTTTCATTATTGATGAACTGTTTAATGTCTTTTCCATTCATGATCTCAATCAAAACTCAACAATCTCCACAACCCATTACTTATAATTATCATATGTTCGCTAGTAACTAGCTTCAAGATGGATTTCCTGGAATTCTATGGAGAAGCCGTAAACAGTAGAGTTCAATCCGTATCGATTGGAAACAGCGTCGCGCAAGATTTTGAATAGCTTGAAGTTAGATACTAACACCGTTGGATGCCGGCCAGCTCAGTTGTCTAGAGGTTAAGACTTTGCACGCGAGACCGAAGGTCTCCGGTTCTAATCTGGTGTGCTGGATCGTGAATGAGCACTACTGAGGAGTCCTATACTATAGTGAAATGGCCGTTCAGTGCTTTCAGGTTTTCAATTATGGTCTAACATTGACCCATTTATGATCTTTAATGTATTTTTGTTCATAAGTTACTTAATGATAGATCTTCATCCTTTTATCTCTTTATTCTGAAAGTTACAGTCATTCAGTTGGAATAAGTACGTATAAACTAATTTTAATTATTTCAGTTTCACCAATCCATCATAGATATAAATACATGGAGGCTACGTGAGTATTCGATTTAGCCAACCTTGAGTTGTTTAAAGTCATCTATCAAATAATTTCCAGAACACAAGTATTACTTCACTTCAAAATCTGAGACCTATAGCTCTATCATAAAGAAATTTTATGTACACAAATTTTATGCACACATTGTAGAGGGTTAAAAAATATAAAATTCGTGTAGATTATAAATAAATTAGCACAGTTTTAAATATTTTGCATGAAGTAATAATCTTGTGCTACTCATCAGATGTGTACATGTATACACGAATCAAACGATTCAATGAACAGCGGATTTTATCTTTTACATAAATCTAGTATAGTTTAACATTCAACAACTCTATTGTTGTGCATACAGTAATTGTATATACATCACTTATTTTGTGAGTCTCATCAGCCCTTGTGGTCTGGTGTGTAATGAAATCTCAGCTCGGATACAGAAGGCTCGACTAGTTTATGCCAACTTGCGCCATTTATGACGTAGGCGAGATATCCGTCTATCAACCAATGGACGTGTTTACTGCGCAGCAGTTCGTTCCGTCCTACTTTATTGCTGTGAAACATGGCCGGTAAGAGTAGGGGATATTCGTAGGTTACTGGTATTCGATCATATGTGTCTACGAAGCATTTCTTGTATATCCTGTAATGTAGTTGCTAGGATACGGGTATCAGGATAGCATGGAAAATCGATTGATGGAGTAGTGAAACTGTATCAGTTGAGATGGCTGGGACATATGTTACGTATACTCAACCACCGACTGCCCCGACATGCGATGGTTTATAGTGTAGGAGTAGGTAGGCAGCTGAACTAAAACATGGCACAAATCCATGAAGTCACTGACAAGTTGGTTGAGCCATGTTGGTAGGTTTAGACTACTTATTTGGAATCCGCGAGATGATAGCAACCGATGGTTAGAGACTATGAATGAAATGGATCAAAATCGTTTGCAATGGCGCAGGTGCATCCACTCTTTGTGTTCTCCCAAATTTTAATCTTCTGGATTCTTCAGGTCTCTTTTTTATTTTTCCCAATTTATTTCACCGGATTATACTTCTTGAATAACATCTTTGAACCCTAATCTTTCCGATTATTGCTTATACTTTTACTACCACTACTACTATGGGATTAGAATCGACAACTGCATTTCTGTGCTAATGCGGCATGGCAACTCGAACTGATGTACGTAAGTAAGTACGAAGTTCTACTTTGTTACTGGCATATACATCATTGAAATAATTATTATTTATATGAGGTGAGATTTTTATTTGATTGAAACCAGTATGAATTTTATCTATGATACTATAACAAATTATAACTCAATAGAAGGATTATAAATATATCATATTCTTTAATTTTGAATAGTCCAGTTATATTAGCTTACATTGTCATTTTAAATAACATAATTAATTGATACCTTAAAAAAAGGGAATGAGCTATAAGAATGTATTTTTTTCTTCACAACTGATTATTAGCTTGTTAGACTGAGTTTTGTGGAGAATTTTTAGGAAATTTCACAGGTTGAAATCATGAGTCAGTTGAAGCTAGACCACCATTGAAAACCTGGAGGCACTGGACGGCCGTTTCGTCCTAGTATGGGACTCCCCAGCAGTGCGCATCCACGATCCCGCACCACGCGGGGCTCGAGCCCAGGACCTACTGGCTTCGCGCGCGGGCACTTAACCATTAGACCACTGATGGATGCCGGCCCAGTGGTCTAATGGTTAAGTGCACGCGCGAAGCCAGTAGGTCCTGGGTTCGAGCCCCGGGTGGTGCGGGGTCGTGGATGCGCACTGCTGAGGAGTCCCATACTAGGACGAAACGGCCGTCCAGTGCTTCCAGGTTTTCAATGGTGGTCTAGCTTTAAATGACTCGTGATTTCAATCCGTGAAATTTCTATAGTCTCCACAAACCCCTTCAGATATTAAATAAGTTTGATTTATATATAAGTTAAATAATTTCACATGTGGAATAGACCTGACAGCAAATTTTAAATGTTCCATTATTTTCATCGTTTTTTCAAGAGTGATTTTGAAAATATGAATATTACTAATCAACAATTTTGAATGAACAACCAAATAGAAAACTGCATTTTAAATATCACGAAGGTTATTAGCGTTGTCATAGATGCTGTTTATTATCCAGTAAAATAAGATAAATACTGGAAAATTATAAAGCATGCATTAATCATAAAATGACATCAGTTTGAGAACTACTTATAATTAGATAATAATAAATGACTGTTTCAGTATGATTAAAGACTATTTTAGTATTTCATCATATCAACGATCTTGTGAAAACATGTACCTGTTGTTCATCAGGGATGACAAATATTTCAGTCATTGAGTTAGGATCCAGTTATTCATAATCTGTCACGCCATATGAGTATCACTCGTTGTGATATGTGACTTACTTTAGATATGATTAACAAAACAGGTCATGACTTACAACTAAATCTTCCATTAATTCATATGAAGGCTAGTCATTTGTGAAAATACATATATACGACAGCCTAAGTTGACTAGCAAGGTTGCCTCCACTATCCAGCAGCACCATGAAGAGGCTTTAGGTCGAATTTCGCTGCCAAATCAATAACAGACAGCATTTAATAATAATACTTAGCATTTATTTACTTTTTTATAAGTCGTTATTTGTAGACATCACTTTTGGAATAAACTAATACAAGCAAGCATTCTATTTGAAGATAGTAATTTATTCATTTGGTCTTCTACTGAACAAATATAAATTGAAGTTGTCCTATACTATTACATTCATTATGTCATTATTTTGTTTCCATTTCAGTTCAACGTAGTAGATCTTACAAAAGCTGAAAATTATCGTCCTGAACATATGATTGAAGAATTATGTCGTTTTTTATTCTTTATTAATAATGGTTTAACATTTTTTATTTATATGACTGGACGTCAATTTCGTAAAGGATTTTATCGACTTATTCATCGTTTTAAATATTGTTTACGTTCATCAATGTGTCCAAATGTTGAAAGAGAAAATAAATGGTATTCACATCCACCAAATAAAAATCATACATTTAAATTAATAAAACCAAATAAACATTATACTTTTCATCGACATTCTGATCAACATTATTATCATTCATATCAAATGAAAACTATACAACAACAACAACAACAACCGCCTCAACACTAACACTGACAACAATAGTAATATCTACCAAATAACAAGATTATTTAGCATAATCATTTAAAAAAAGTCATAGTGAACATAATCCTCGAAAATCCATTTTGATAACGCAATAAAACTCAATAATCCAAATAAAAAGCGATATTTAAACAGCTAGAAGAACGCACTTAGTGAAATAATCTGAAATTTCAAAGAATTTCGACCGCATTTATTATAAATATTCTTATTTTTACGTATTTAAGAATATCGATAAAATGATAATAAACCTTGGAATCAAATCAAAAGAATATTTATGGTTTAAATGAAATGATAAAATTGTCTTTTAAATGACAAATATAATCTGTTTAGTGTTTTTCAGTATAACAATTCCAAAGAATCTTTTTTAAAAAAAAAAAACGTACAGAGACAAGTTGTTCTGGGTTATAGAATAATAGTGTTCTTAGAATTGTGATTCTCTGAATTGTCTGGCTTTATTATGGTCTCTTCATTTTCGTTATGGACAACATCATGTACACCTAATCCAAGTAAAAAATGAGCATCGTAATTATTTCAAAAACGTATCATGTTCATATTTTCGATTAGTTCTACTTACAACTACAAATTCTCATTATTTCAAGTGATTTGTGTTTTCTTATCGATCAAAGTGATTCCATTGGATATATATATATTAGCCGCCATCCATCTTTACTTATAATGCTTATGACTTAAAGCAATATCGAGGCATTCCTCACAGGATGCGCATGTGCCAATAACAGACTGATTAATTGCAGACCTAAACAACGATGGGAAGATACCAGTAAACAACACCAAGTGAATTTAATAATAATGACATGTGAATATAATATATATAAACTTTCTAATTATAGACACGAGGAATATACAGTGTTTTAAAGTGATCGAACTTTGCCCATTGTAAACAACCTGATTTAAAAGATGAAATAAATAAATGTAAACAGTTTAAAAATCTGTTTTTCAAGCAGTTATTGACATATAAAGTCAAAAGTTTCAATTAATGGTACACTGATGAACCAGAAAGCCATATCTAGAGATAACATCCACTTACCATTTAAGTTCGCATGTTCCACCTTGAAAATGAAATCGAAAACGCCTTTCATATTTTTTTCAGTGTTAAGTTAGATATAGTGCAATTAAAGGATTTGTCGCTTGGTCCTGAATTTTGTGACTATGGAAATACAATAAATCAAGTAGATACCAATATAAAGTTTAAGAATTTATTTTCACAAACAACAAATTTGGTTCTTATCTCACTCGATGAATTTACTAGTTATATAAGACCACATTAGTTGACATCTGCCAACAATACAAAAATAGTAAATATGCTGTGAAATCATCACTTATCAGAAAGCATCGAGATAACACTCTGATCACAAGCAAACAAGACAAAGGAGAAAGGTTAGTTCTAATGGACAAAGCTGATTACATTGATAAAATTAACACGATTTTGAATATTGCGACTAAATTTCAAAATCTAAACGACGTTAAGGATATAAATATGAAAGCTGAGGAATTACTGACTAATTTGCTTAAAGAATTAAAAATGAAGGAATACTTATTCCAATAATTCCCGATTCGCTTAAACTCACTGGATCGAACACACCGCCTCTCTCTACTCAAAGTCCACAAATCAGGACTTATTCATTGTCCAGTCTTTGATATGTATAATTTACCATACTATAAAACTTCAAAGTAGTTAGTTCTAATCATAGATCCCTTACACAAACTAGTCGTTAACAGGAGCGATAAAGTTCCTTTTGATTTCATTTCCAAGGTCAAATATACGAACATAATTGGAAACGGATGATATCTCTAAACGTGGCTTCCTTGTTCATCAATGAATTATTAACTCGGTTTAAAAATCTCCATAGAATACTCAAGAATGAAGAGTATTTGAGCGAATAATTGTTTTCAATAACTTCGTCATCAGGCTCCATAGTTACAGGTTCATAATTCTTGTGTTATTTTTACAAACGCCTAAATAAGGCATGCTAGTGAATGTTTTATGTTAAAATTGGTGAACTTTTACACTTGTCACGGCATAATTACTTCAAAATTACGTCGTTTGTAAGTTAGAAATTTGATTTACGCAAGATCAGAATGATTGGTTGTGTGGTGTCAAGTTATAAACAATATAATAACAATAGAATAAAATACATAGTAGAAGAATTTTGTCCCGTTAATAGAGATAATAATAATAGCATTCATAATAATAATGACGACAAAATGGGTGGTAACTAACAGTTGAATCCAGGACGCGTGTTTCGTCATACTTGAGACTCGTCAGCTGAATGTATCTGCATTCAAGAGTTGATGTCTACTCAAGGACTCGGTCCTAGTATCGTTGACTTCAAACATCATCACGTTGTCCACTTAGCTATTGAGTCCTGATAGCCACTTGCTCGTGCAATGGAGAGAAGTTTGAATTCACTTGGTATTGTTTGTTTGTATCTTTTCATTGTTGTTTAGAACTGTAGTCGTTCAGTCTGTTATTGGCATATTTGCTTTCTGTGCGGAATGCGGGAGTGAAAATCAATTTTGGGTGTAAATATATCCAGCTGACGGGTCCCAAATAGGACGAAACAAGAGTCCTGCTTTCCACTACTAGCTGCCATCCATCTTTACATATAATATATAACAAGCGAGGTTTTAATGACGTAATTATGATAAAAAATTCATGTAAATTCGGAAGGTTGATCAAGAAGGATGCAGGGCAGATATAAACACATAAGGAACAGAGGGGAAGATTAACAAATGGTTTGTACCATCTAGTCGTGGATCAAGGTAAACAGTGAAGCTGAACATTCCTCCATTGAATACTTAAGTTAGGTTTTCAAGAGTTGATTCAAATGGTTTCATCTATATTGATGAGTTACAATGTAGCTCGGCTAGGTAGATTGTTTAGAACCTAACACGAAACATAAAATGCTTCATCTATTTCAATATGATTTTCGATATCTACAAAGTAGGGATAGGTGGATATGTTAATAGATTCCGTGACCCGTTTCCCCAACCACTCTGGTTAATACGCACCACCACACAAGGAAATAGCCGTCTAAGTAATGTCTACGTAACTAGTTTCACAAGAGCAGTTTAATTGGTATACACATATAGAGGAGCCCATAATCAGTAACCTGACCTCAACTGGTTGTGTGAGTACTGGTTTAGTAGAGATTAAATGTGGCTTGTGGATGGAGAATACTGGTGAGCGGCCTATGCTCCTTCACGAGGAGTAACAGGCGTAAGTAAGTAAGTACATTTAGCTTGACGGCGTAAATGTCCTTTTGATAGGTTTTTTAAGATGACATGTTAAAGTGTGACTCTCCATGTCCCTTCCAAAACCAAGCTTTAAAAAGGGAGATTTCTTGACGATATTGTCTCAACTTGTCCCATTTTCCCGTTCTGGAAGATATTTTTTGACGAAATTATCTGGATGGCCGTCATTTTATAATGTATTTTTTAGTTTATCTGTTTCCTCATATACACTTTTCTCAGAACATCATAACCCGATTCTATGTCTGGGAAATTTGACGAGATTTATTTTTTGCCAAATGGGTGTAAAGCAAAGAAAATGGGTATACTAACCAGTCCATGTATTCTTTCTCAAATTTCTTTATATGGGACTGTCTATTCTTCCAAAAAGCACAACATCAAGAAGAGCTACATTGTTATCACACTAATCTTCTCCGGTGGATTTAGTAGCTGGGTTAAAGTTGTTTTTTGATTCACCAGCACGTATTATTCTGGCGTTCGCTAAATAACACAACAGTTATGAACTTATAACTGTAGTGTGTAACGACGAAGTTACAAAAACAACTATTTGCTCAAATTTCGGTTATTTTTCAATTAAATTTAAACTACTGACTTGTTTGTGAGTACGTAGATAGAGAACACAATCACTTATATTTTCGCAGTAGTGTAAAAAATGTCTTGATGCAAATTATAACAATATATTCACTACTTCGTATCAGTCACCAGAAGAGTAATCAAGAGAATACCAGTGACGATGAAATTATATACAGATATATCATTGAGGTATTCATTTATGAACTAAATTCTATCCAATTTTTCAATACAAACGATAAAAGTTATATGACAAATTGGTGACAAAGTAGTTTAAACGTTTTCGGAACTTCGTACTGAAGCTGACTACCAAGTACTTAACAGAGTGGTTAAATATCTCTATCAGCAATTTTTAACAAGACATAATGTCAGTCTCTTATATGACAAGGTTTTGTAATGATGTGTAAAATGTGAAGTCAAAAATTATTTGGAAAACAATAAAGCTTTGTTGATTTAGATATGATATGTGTTCGGTGTGATCATCTTATTTATCCTCATTCCTAAAGAAATAAATATGAAAATGAATCAAACAACGTTAAGGCCATAAAATACACCATGGATTTATAGTAACAAATATTGAGTGGCGTATGGAAAATCGTAAAATTACCGGTGATAAGACGTAGTATGGTTTAACCAACTTTAATAAGAGCCTATAAACAATATATATGTATTCATTAACCATATTTCTATAAGCTCTAGAAGTCCAGTTTCATTATGATAATTATAAAACATGATTCGCTATTAATAAAAAAATAGATTGGTTTTACCTGTTGATATTACGCTGAATGCTACGATTGTAATTCATTATCACTTAAGGTAAACGTAAAGTCTAAACAGTATAAGAAACGATCTTAAATGACAAACAAAAAAGCGCTTATAGACATGGATTCCTTAAGGTCAAAGTGCAACAAAAATATTATAAACCAACTTTCTTTTAAAATAAATCTTATTAAGCTTCAGTTTATCTTTTATCATATGCAATTTGCTATTGAGTAATGTAAAGATACACAAATGATACGAGTAGATTAAATGGATTTTTTCTTAAAAAAATCTCTATTTGTTAAGTTTATTATATTGCCAAATCAGATGTATGAACACCTTAAAGAATATTTGTTTAAACCGGACAAGCTTTAAGGACTGTTTATTATCGGAACTGCTGAGACTTTTTGGTTCTCTCTAAAAATTTAATGAGAAAGTGTATGAAAATAGTTTAGATTGAATGTAAATCGACGATGTGTATACATATAAACTTTTGGTCATAAACAAGTTCAGTTTTGTGTACATTTTTTGATTGTGTTTATCTTTGATAATTGTGATTTTGATTATTTCCTTTAATGAACTTTAGTGACCGGGGATCTGACTCCAATTTGATCGTATGAATGATTAACATTGAAATATATATGTCGCCTATCCTCGTATATAATCATCGACTTAAATCACCGTTAGTCAATAACGGGATTAAATAAGTCAAACAACGAGAATGGACTTTTGAATACATATATTTAGTGTATGAAGCGAATGGGATAGAGCGAAGGGAAACGACGTGCAGTGGAGAAGGTGGGTAAGCTAACTCCATTTAGTCAAGCGTCAATCAATATTTATAGTCACACAAAAATAAGTTACAAACATTTGGTGAGTAGGTTAAGAAATGTACATGCACATATGCACTCATATAAAAACAGTCAAGGTTGATAAGCGAATAATTAACGAGATTAAAATATGACTCAAGTAGAATGAATAGACTAGCCTGTCCGTAAACTAGAATAAGGTATATGGGCTTAACATAATAAGCGACACTACAAAACTCATATCGAACTATTCTGTATCTAATATCTTGGTGTCTAACATCGTAAAAGTATTAGTGAATAAATTACTATTTTGTTTACCTCATAATTAATTAATAGTTTATTTTTGGTGGAGTTTTGTTCCCTAAGCTGGATGGTTTGGTCGTGGGGCTTTCATTGTTCTTCTGAACGACATCATCAGCACAAACTTCAGATAGAAGTTTGTTATTAAGAGCAAATCAATTTCTTTATCTTCATCTTTCCGGTTTTTTTTAGTGAA